TTGAACATTTATGTTGAACAGTGAAGCAGATTACGAGACTGTGATTGCAGGGTTTACTTGTCTAGGTGTTCGTAATCAGTCCACAAAATAATAGCAGTGAGAAATAATTTATACACTCAAAGGCTTAAGAAATTATGTAATCAAGCGTAGTATGGGCTGGATTTGGATTCTGCCTCGTAGTTTTTCGAAATTGGGAAAAATGAAGACCTTAAGTTCTTCTAGGAACATTATGATGTGGCCTCAAACTATAAGACAAGAATATTTCAAGAATAAACGAATTTGGATTTTCATCTGTTTGTAAGCTAGCTGTTGTTGTTCGAGCTTCCCATACGATTTAGATATCCTTTGAAATGGAAATTCTGTATGAATACATGCATTAGGTGCAGGTCGACAGTCGCTGCCTCGTAATGCAAAAGTGATAGCAGAAATTAATGGCTACCAAGATCGATTTATTTCTCCTGATAAACTTGGAAATAAGCGAAAATGTTCTATTGCAACTACTCCTGCCAGTAAAATTTCGGAACAGATTGCCGCTCGGGTAGGTCTTTTCATGCGCATCTTTCCATATTTTTTTTCTAGAGTACCTACTCTGTGCTCCGCTGACTTACAGTTGTTCATCGAGTCTCCTGATGCTCAAGATAGAAACAAAAGAACAAATTCGAGCAGGCGAGCTACGTTAAACGCAGGAACTGCTCATCGACGTCTCGACTTATCTCTAAAATCTCTCAAACATAAACGTTACGAGGCTAGTTGCATAAATTTATGGCTAGTTCGAAATCAAATTGATCTTAATACATGCTTTCTGTTTTTAACCTTTGGTTGCCTGCATTCTTGTTATATTTACGTCTGTAACTAACGTTTAGCGGCCATGTTCTATGTTCTATTGTTCATCTGATATTTAGGGATTAATGTCCTTCTCATGTAGGTATCCGAATGTACTGAGATTGAGAACGACGAGAACATCCCTCCAGCAGGAGATACCGTTGGACGTCGCCTACCCGCTAGAATTTCGAAGCATGTACGCTTTTTCATGATCTTTCAACTTTTTTTTCATCAGGAGCTTTCATATAACGCCTTACAACCTTGCTTGGAATTAACAGCTACTAAGAATTTTTGAAAATGTACTTCAGATCTCTTCCACAGCCCAAGAAAAATCCTCTAGGACTCCACTGAGAATGAAGATTAAAAAAACCGTACGCTCAGCCAAAGTAGCGTCATTCAGCATCAGGTAGCTCCGTCAGGAAAACTTCTTTTAGGAAATGTAGAATGTTCAGAACGAAACAAGAAAATACTAGATACAGATCACCAAAGTTATCTATATCGAGTCGTGTTATTAAAGCTGCTGATGCTAAATTAATGCCGGTCAGTCCTTTGTTTATTTGCCTAAATCGACAATCAAGTATTTACGTCTTGTCTCTTGGTACACCCATGAACAGTTGAGCATTTTGGAATATGCCAGCGTAAAATTTATAAAGCCGTTATCAGAAAAAAAATTCCTTTCAACATTATAAAGAGTGAATGAATTCTATATGAATATCCAGGTCGTTATGCGCTTAAGATCAGTCGTACCTCGTGCAGATGGTACCGTCGAGTATCGAACTGTCGGATCAGTGGGTTTCTGCACGCAATTTATCCCACTACGCTTACAAAAACTATTCCAGGGAAGTCCCTGGGCTTTGAAGCGTCCGCCTGCTCGCATTGTAACCAAAATGCCAGAAGTGAGACCCCTCACCAGTAAGATTGATTTCGCAGCAGAAGGTTCGGAGTCCTCATCAAGCGAAGCTTGCTCAAGCGATGAAAACGAACTTGACGAAGTTGTCTCTTCAGATACCGATGATGATAAAGTTAAAGTGAACAAAAGGTAAGTAGGAATTGTTCTCCCTTTTTTGCTGCTTATATGAATTATTCCTAGGCGGAAATCGCTCGCTCCCCCGTGCGTGTCATTTAAGGTAGCCATTAAATCTCTTGAAAAGAAGCGCAGTAGTATCGCACTCAACCCAAGAATGGCAGTGAAGGTTTGCATTTGATCGACTTCAAAAAAAGAGTAGTTAGATATTTTTTAGAAGGTCGAAACACTTGAAGATTTTCGCCGTCGCTTGCATACCGCCCAAGTTCCTGAACGAATGCCATGCCGAGAAGCGGTAAGATTTTCAATTATCCATATGTTCTCGCTACAGCTAACAAGAAGTTACTTATCTTACCATGTAAGGAAGCATCAGAAGTTGAGCGTTTCATACGCAATGCAATCTCAGTGCGAGGCACTAGCAGTGCAATGTATATCAGTGGTGTTCCTGGGACGGGAAAAACGGCCACGGTAATGTCGGTACGTGTTCGCATTAGAATTTACTTTCTGTGGTTGGATACTTGCTTTAATTTTGTTTTTCAACTTGTTCAGGTTGTAAAGCAGCTTATTCAAGATAAAAAAACTAACAAATTTTGTTTTGTTGCCGTGAATGCTATGGAGTACATAGAACCGAAAAGAATTTTTGTGGAAATATACAACCAGTAAGTATTGTCCCACCTTTTACGTATTTTTTTAGCTTGTCAGTCAAACGTTATGCTTAACACATTTCTTAGGATTACGGGAAACGTTGCTAGTATCTCTCCCGCTGCTGCTCGGAGAAAGTTGAATGCAATGTTCGAAATGGCGGACAAGTGTCGTCCAGCTGTCGTGATCCTAATAGATGAATTGGATCAGCTTTGCACAAAAAAACAGGAGGTACAAACTTATGTCGTTAGGCATCTGCTGCTTTTTTCCAGAATTTTTTCCCCTTAGATAATTTGTACACTTTTAGCTCATATATGACATTTTCAACTGGACCTCCGTTGAGTCGGCACGCGTCTCGGTGATGGCCATCGCTAACACTTTAGATCTTCCAGAGCGTTTGCTGTCTCAACGAGTTACTAGTCGAATTGTAAGTTCCGTAACTTTTCTTTATTCGTATGAGTACTGTGGTATACGTGGAAAAGTGTTACTGTGCCTCTAAAAGAATTATTTAGGGCGCCGCTCGTATTTGCTTCCAACCTTATGAGTTTCAAGAGATTGAACGTATCATACATGACCGCTTGAAAGATTCCACGAACGCTATAGATGAAGCTGCAGTGCAGATTGCGGCGAGAAAGATGAGCTTTTTTATTTCAATCGCTTAGATCAGTGTCTTTTTCTTTTATGTACAAAAATATAGTTTTTTTTT